GTGCTGGAAGAGCCAAGCTTAGGCATCAGCTGGAGGGCTGGGCTGGTTCTGACCTGGGATGTACAAGCAAGGACTGGGGCTCGCTGTTGTCTTTGACCTGTCTCTTCCTCTCCAGAGAGCTCCTAAATCTGGCTACGACCAGTTCTCTTGGGACTCTTGGGAGCTAGCAATGCATATACAGGACACACCAAGTTCAGGAGAAGGTCTGGGCCTGTGGTGGACAGGCAGCATGGCCGGAGACTTGGGGTTTCCAGCAACAACCATTTCGGTGCAAGAGAGAACCCAAAATGTCTAACCAGTAAAAGAGTCGGGAAACTTTCCAGAGTTTCTCCCTCCAGTAAGATGATGAACAAACATCCATCCATTGCAATTAAATGATGCCAACATGCGCCATCTTCAAAATTGCAGGCACTGTTTCTAGATAGCTGCTTGTATCAGCCTGACATTTCCAGAACAAAGTTATCTTCCAGGGTACTGAACTGGCAAGTGGAGGGGAAGGAAGTATTTCAGGATTAGATTTACATCAAGAAGCTCCTATTGCTGATGCACTGATGATAGGAAGATAAAACATATTTCCTTCACATGATCTGGAGACTACAGATGTTCCCCATTTCATATGCTGAAACTTAGAAGCTGAGAGCTGAATTGGAGAATGACCCAGAGAAATCTAAATAAATCATCTTTCAACATCATAGTGACCAAGACATATTTTTCCTTCCTGGAAAGGATGAAATCATTCAGTCTCTCTTAGTCTTGCATCTTTCCCAACAAAGCCACCTTAGCAGCAGATTCCATCGGTTGTAATAAAGGTGGCAAAAAACCCACCAGGCTGCCAAGGAACTAAGAGCAGAAAAGAGCAAAGAAGGAAAACTCAGGGAAGAAGATTGCATGACAGTCTCTGCCTAACTGACAGTAAAGGTGAGGAAAATCTAAAGCAGCTCCTGACAAGCATCATTTAATTGTTTACCAGCAGTTTCTCTATGGGGTTTATCTGTGGCAAAAGGACAGGAAAACCCTTCCTAGAAAACAAACATATTTTCAGGTCTTCTGAATGAAAACAAAAGGGTGTGAACTGCTCATCTGGCCACCAGGAGGGAAGGGATCACCTGAAAAAAATCTCGCTATGTTTTTAGGAATGAAGGAGGTGTGATGGGTTGGAAGAGAAGCCTAATAGCACCCATCAACTATCATTATTGTATGAGAAAGAAGGGGACAAGGAGGATCTTTTCGGATGGAGGTAGCTCAACAGCAGTGGTGGAGGAAACGTCACTAGGGAGGAAGAGTAGGTAGCTTTACCCCTTTGGACTATGATGGGGCCTGTCTCCAAAACTCAGCTGAAGGCAGGTGTCAATATACATGAGATGTCAAGAAACTTGGACTTGAAAGCAGGATGTTGCCAGGACGCTGACACTATTTTGATCACTGAAACCCAAATGTGACAAATCATAGTAGAGCCAGGTGCTAAGAAGGCCTTAGAATGAGAACCATAACCAGGAAGTGTTGCTGGCGGCCATCAAAAGCTGGCATATCACTGTGGATATTGTAGCATTTTATCCTGAGAACAATGTGCAGTTAAGAGGAAACCTCTATATTAAAACAGATGATCCCGAGAACAGGATGTCCTACCAGAGATGTAGCCACTACAGTTTACGCTAAGCTCTCTGGCCTGCTTATGGATGAAGGTGGCTTTTGCCTTTTAGCTAGGGTTTTGAATCTGATTTAGTTTCATACCGAGCAGAAGCTTTTAACAACTGGCCTACTGGAACTGAATCTGGGAGAGGTTGCTCCTGCTGGAGGCTGGTGGTCTCCATCACAAGATCCATCCTCACTTACGTTATTGAGGGCCTATCTCAGCCTCAAGAGCAGCCGGTAACTGGAAAAGCCAAGAAAGCCAAACCTTTTGCCCGCCCCAGAGAGACATAAAGGCACATCAGGTGGAGTCTGGAGATGCACCTGTGTCAGGTGCTGGACGAGAACTGGTCCAACACCACAAGTATTTCAGGCGTGAAGCTGTGATTGCAACCTCCAACCTAGCCTGGATTAATTTCTAGGCCTTCAGCCTGACTTTCACAGCTCTGCCTTAAACCAGATGGAAAAGATCTGTGAGATCATCCATTGCTCATCTCTGTGTCAGCACCAGATGACACATAGTCACACATACCGTCCGACCTGACTTATGAGCTCCAAGTGATGAGATTTCCACCTCTGCCCACAGGACTCCCTTCTACTTTATTAATGGCTCCTTCTCTCAGAAAGCCTTCGCCTGGAGTAGGCCTGGCTATTATTTAATCTCTCAGTCCACCTAAGTAGTACCACAAAAAAGTACCAGAGGTTTGATGTTCATACTCTGACAATATTGATAAGCAGAAACTTGCCCAAGCTTGATCCTAACAGGTGACTCTTGCCTCCCCTAGCCATTTTCCTCCCTGCATTGTACCGCTGCATACACTAACAAATTCCCTTTGGTCCAACATGATGCAAAGATGCTTTTCAATGTTAAAAAAATATATGGGTCCCTTGATGGAGCAAAGGGTGCAGACCTCCATTTTGGGGTCTGAAACTCCAAGAAAGACAACTGATCACCCTTTGCCACAGGTCTGATAAATGATAAAATGCCCGTTGCACTTCGTTGTTTCTCCTGCAACCTCAAGCCGCCTCTGCTATTACAAAGCCAAATAGCTGAACACTGAAATGGTTATGAAATGATGCAGTAAAATTTCACCCGTTTCTGCTATTTCTTCAGGAAAGCAGGAGTCACAAGTGAAAGCAAAGTGACTGTTTGTCACTTTGTGTTTAGACGTTATTAAGATGTATTAAGACATACATGTGGCTGTGGCAGCACCATAATTGACTGCTGGACAGGTGTAAGACATGCAGTCCCTCCCTAATAAAACTTTTTTTCTTTTCCAGCATCTCCTTTAAATTAAAAAGTGGAAGCCAGGATCCATAGTTGTTCACAGGCTTATTTAATTACTAGATTTTCATCATTAGCGCAACACATAACATTTGATTTCTTAAGCATGAATAATAAATGGGTCTGTTGATTTAATTGTCTTCTGAGGATGAATCCCATCTGAATTTGGAAAAAGAAGATATTTCTAATGGTTTTCTACAAAAACAGTTGTGACTATTGGCCAACTTTGTCCCCAAATTTGCCTTTAAGATACATTCCCTCTCTTGTTTAGCTAGGGGATCATTTCCTTAAGTATCTGTCAGGATTACCTTCTTGCCCTTAAATAGCAACCAGACCAGTTATCTCCATCAACATAACAATTATCTCCATCAGTGAGCCAGCTGTGTCCATCCAACAAGCAAACAAACCAAACTGCAATAATAGCCCTCAAGGCAGGCAGCTGCTAAGAGCTTTCCCATCCTACTGAAGCCAACAGCCTCTTCAGCTTTGGCCTCACAGTCCTTCGAGGACTGAGGTAGCTGGCTCCCACGAAGGGGATTAGGTGCCTGAAACCCTGTGATGCTCTGGGCCTAGTGAAAAGGTGCTCAGCATCTTGCAGGATCAAGCCCTGCCAGGCTAATAGGGAACAATGTGCCAGTTTGCTGTGGGGGGTATTGACACCCCATTTCCACATTCTGTGTGAAAGAGGCAGTACCAAAAGGGTGGAGGCACAGGGAAAAATTATAGGAATATCAGAGGGGTCTGGAGAACAAGGGCAATAGCGAGAGCAAGGCTTTACGCAAACACACACAAGAAGTGCCCACTGACTCCACAGGCATAAATTTAAATGCCTCCTCAAGGTTTAGCCTGTTGACCAGAGTCTCTCTGCAGGCATATCTTAAGGCAGGTGTGGTCTCTCAGCCAAAAGCTGATGGTTAAAAGACATGAACTGATGGGCAGTTAGCACACTTGTCCTGGAAACATCATAAACAGACAGGACATCCACCAAAACATGCTGAGAAATGGCTTCCTTAAGAGCAAATTTGCCCACATGAAACCACTGAGAGTCCCAAATTTCTGCAAACACATTATGCTGGCTTCCGCTGGGATTAACTGCAAGCCATGGATTGACATAAACACCAAGGGATTCCCTCAGATCACTAGCATCAAAGAGCCACGTCAAAAACAACATCTTGCTGAGAGTTACCTTGGCTACATAGCTGAAGAAATAGAGAGTGTCTCGTGGGGCTTGAGTGGTGAGAGGATGGAGGATTTCACTCCTTCATCACCAGATACGACGTGACCCTTCCCAGATGGGCAGAGGCATCAAGCATGACTCATGCCCAGTGATCTCAAATAGACAGCCCCGGGGTCCGGGAGCGCTGGTAGAGCTGCCACCCCACTCTGTGACCCATGGGCAGCCCTGCACATCACCGCGGGGAGACCTGGCATGAAAACTCTCGCTAAATGGGCCTGGGGGATCCAGGTCTTAGAGGATCGCAGCACGTGGGCCAGGGCTCCCTCTCTTCCTCACCAGCAGAGCCTCCTCGTGCTTTGGCTACACTTGTCCTGAGGATAAACAGATAATATCTATCTTTTTACCTGTAAAAAATATCCTTACAAATGACTAGGTGGTTATTATTCTGGCTGCCAGTGAGTTCACCCAGGCCAAACTCTTTGGATCATCTTTGACCTCTGCATGCACCATGTCTTCAAGTCCTGCTGCTTCCTCCTCCTCAACACTGGAGGTTGTTTCTCCTGCCCTCAGCTTCCCACATTTCAGCAAATTTGCCATCTTGTCCCAATTTAGTTCTTCTTTCCTGCTTTCCCAAAGGCCAGTCGTTGCTTCCTGGGCAAAGAGAAGTTTGCAGGGTCCCAGCACATCCAGTGCCCCTGGTGCCATCTCCTCTACCGATGCCACCAGGCACCACTGCCCCCTACACGTGTCCTCCAGCCGTGGCATGTGGCAGCAGGATCAGCTGCCCTCTGCAAGCCACAACCTATCCACACCTTCACTGGGATATCTCTCAGGGTATTTAACTAACATAGACTTAGTCCATCCAGAAAATACAACCCACCTCCAAACACAGGGGTTGAGTTCGGATCCACGCAGCTGGTTGGGAGGAATATTTTGCCTCTGTCTCCTTCCTTGCCTCCCCTTGTTTGATATGCTCACCTGCTGCACCTCATTTCTCAGCCCTTAGTGGATGGATAGGGTAGGCCGGTCTGTACGCCAATATCTGATCTTGACGGCAAAATACTGATGTGCCAGTCATAAGCAGAATCACTGCACCTAGGAGAGGTTTGTGTGTGCTGCCTGGAAACCATTCTGCCTCCAGAGACAAAAATGCTCCGTGTGTGTGTTTGCACA